TCTATCTCTCTCTCTCTCTCTGCCCCCCCACACCGCCTCATCCTCGCGCCACTCGTCAGCAAACCGCCCGTCTACGGACAAGAAGACTCGTCGCCCTTTCTCCTCCCCCCTGCACTGCCGTTCCACAACCAGACGTACAGAAACAGTAGCACTACAGAACCCACAATGCAACAGCAACAACCGCTGGTCTTTTTCAGCAGCTTGATGCTTGAAAGTTGAATTTTCCTTTTTGTTTTTGACTTCCTTCAAATTGGGGCGGTTTCATGTTTTTATTAGAAATTTGAAAACCTGAATATTTAATAAATGAAGTAATGATTTGCCAGATTAAACTCTCAGTGAATCACTCTGATCTCATCAGTAAAGTCTTTAGTTCATAAGCAATAAAACGCACTCTCACTCATGGTTTTGCTTCCACAGTGACTATAAGTCTTTTTGATCTAAATAGGAGGGAGGCTCGCTGTTGGAGCGCAGAGCAAAAAGGAGCGGGACTTAGAGAGGGTCAACAGATTCTTGTAAACGCTGCGTTAAAACATTTGAAAACCCCGTCAGCGTCCTCTCGGTCAGAGCTGCAGTTGTAAACTTGTAAACGCTGCAAAAACTGTCACTAATGTTTTAGTTTTTTCAGTATTATGTGAATTTGAAAGAAAGCCCCAAACAAAAACAACAAAATTCAACTTCCAGCTCAACTGCGATTGAACAGGAGATCATGTACTTGTATTAATGCACAGTGGAAATAAATGTATGGTCCCAAAATGTTTGGAAAAAAACAAATAAAACAAAACATAGTGAGGCGTGAATCAGTTGGATATGACTTTACATTAGTGTTATATGCATGCACCAGCAGCCTCTTTTGCATAGTTTGAATTTGCAGGACATTAAAAAAAAAAAAGGCCATTAACGCATATTTAGTGTTTGTTATAAAGCTTGAATGACCAAAGGGAGTTAAATTAACTTCAGGGTCTAGATTGTGTATGAACCCAGAAAATAATATCCTCTATTTATTCTTTGATATGAAGAAATAATCTCTCAAGATCAAAAAGAGAAGCATCGATTTTTCTCTCATAAACGCCTTTAAAAGATAAACGTCTTTATGAAACTGTGAATCCAACAAAATAATAATAATAATAGCTTTGCGTGATAACAAAAACCTCTTTCGACGTCTAGATATAAGTTTTAAAATTACTATTGTTATTATTTTTTGTGCTGCAACTTAAATATGATGTAAATCTCTAAAAACTTGAAGTATATACAGCCCTCTCTCTCTGAAGTGCTCGATGCAACAGCGGATACACAAGTGCATATAAATCTCAGAAGCCTCGGGGGAAACCGAACAGTTACTGGATGTAATCTCTTACGTTGTAGCTCGGTTTCAGGAATCGTCACTCCTTGATTTTTTTGTGGCTGGTTGCTCAAGAAATATTTTCACTCCTCTGTTTTCACTTATTGCTCTGACCTTGGCCCTGAGTTCGTCCCCACCTTCACATCAACCCCCCGGCCTCCCCACATCAGCTCCGCTCCAGTATCGTCTAAACAGAGATCGTGGATTCAGAAGATGAAATCTGTCATAACTCTGCTCTGTAAAAGCTGAACTTCGCCTGTCCTCCCGCTTGGGCGTAAGATAATTCAAATGCACGATATATTTCGTAAGAGAGGGGCTAAGTCTCATTCCTGCGATGGCTTTGTGTTATTATTCAGACATCGAGAGCAGTCTGAGTTGTTCTGAAGTTGACTCATTTGAGGTCTCGACCGAACTTTGCAGTATCAAGCGAGAATGTTTAATGCCATGCATTTCATGATTTCAATATTTTTTTTTTTTTATGAAAGATGAAGAAACGGTTCCCACATTTGAGGTAATTCCCTTGTTGGTTCTCGAACTCCCGGCATTGGAGGACATTGCCAGATCTCCTGTAAATGGAAGTTTCTCCAAGTACGTGAGTGTTAATTCCTGGTGATACACTATCAGCAAACGAAGGGGGGAGTGGCTTCTGGAAACAAACGATCCAGCGCCGTTAAAGTGTTACGCAGTCACGGAGAGGAACGAGGGATCGTCGCTGCAGATTTGCGAACCGATGGGGGCATGCTACAGACAAAATGAACGGGGGGGGGAGTCAGAATCACATTAACGGGGTTTTAGCAAAATGTTTTTAGCTCTCAAATGTGGATGAGGTGACAGATATTCCTCACAGATATTCCTGCTAATACGGCCTGGATTTGCATCCCACCCACCACTATTCCTAATCCTCCTTTGTCAGTGTGATTAGTGAACGGATGGGAGAGTAAACGCAACTATCCGGCACATTACAGCAAAACCATAAAAATAAATACAACCTGTCGTAACAGACCTTCCAAATCAGCAGAGGCTGTAAACACAGTAGGAGTAAGATAAGATAATGTCTCTCCACGGAGGCTCTTCTTCAGCTTCTGGTTGCTTTTTACTCCTGCGTTTTCACTCGCGGAGAAGCAAACACGATCTTTTCTTCAGTGTAGTAAATGTTAACAGGCGCCGTGAAGCACTTCAACAAGATCCAGGCAAGAGAAGAGAAAAAACAAAACAACAACAACAACCCAAAAAAAATCATCAAACTTCAGTAGTAGAATTGGATCGGTGGAGAGGTCCACTTAGGCAGCAGATTTGTAACAGAGGAGTTAAAGTGTGCGGAGAATGCCCAGGAGTTGTGGGACAAGAGCAGGCAGTCCTGGTGTACTACAGTACGATGGTGGGGTTTGAAATGTGTTAAGTCAATCTAGTGCCTTTGCAGAAGTAGTTGCGTTAGTAGCTGAGTGTGCGGCTTGAGCGAGCAATCGTGAACTGGGTCGTCAATCATCCTTAGAATTGTCAGTGACGGCGGCCGCAGGAGACGAGTCCGGCATACGACTACGCCGGTACAGGCGGTAGCCCTTTCGGCAAAGCAGGACGAACCAGTACACCTGCGGCGCCAGGATGCACGAGTTGCCCAGGTTGGCGGACAGCGGCAGGTGGAAGGGCACGCTGTAGAGCGGGATGCCGTAGTGCTGGCCGTACACCCAGTACATGTAGGGGAAGAGAGCGATGCGGCACATAAAGAAGGTGAGCAGTACCATACCGCCGTTGGCCTTGTGCAGCCAGCAGTCCTGGAGGCTGAGCTGATGGAGACAAAAAGGGGGAAGGGACAGAAAGAGGGTTTTAAAGTAGCACTTAAAGTACTCAGCGAAGTTAAAAATATAGTTTTGTAGGTTCAAATCTTGTTTCCGTGTGTCAACTGTTCAGTTATGTTGTGATTAGTTACATTTTTGACGACTTTGAAAAGCTGATTTGCGCCGTTGACCAACAGAAAATAAAGTAGGGCTGCATGATTACGGCCAAAATGATAATCAAGACTATTGTGATCAATATTAAAGAGATAACAATTACTGAACACTGCTTGTTTCATCCCTATCTGTCATATTAACTGAAAATGGCTGTTTTTGTGGTTTACTAGACGCCTTTCTGTTAAGCAGCCACTTTGCACTTCCTGCGACAAGCTTACTTCAGTATAAAAGTCTTTCGCCAGTTAAACGCTCTTAATGTGGAGCTGTGGCAGCAGGAAACGTTTGGTTTTCGTCAGCAGTAACTTAATACAGCATTTATTTCTGGGGATAAAAGTATCCAGGCTGCAGCTGCAGGATG